CTTCCAGGGGTGCACGTTACGATCAAATCACGATGTCGGGTGTTTGTGGAGGGCCCCAAATGGTGTAGGGGGTGATCGGACCTTCTGCGTGTCCCCCAGCCCCCGGACAACGTGTTAACGTGCGGGGACCAGCCCAACCTCTTCTGCCATGACCCCTTGTGGAGCCTATTTGCGAGTGATCATACTGCATATTTTTCTCATCCACGCTTTTCCTTCGTCCTCCCTTCTCATTCATCTGCCCCGTCATCATCGTCATCAGCTCCATCATCAATCTGTCGGAGGAACAGCGATAGAGGGAGCAGAAGGAGCAGGATGTGGAGATGGGGAAGAAGGGGGGAGGTGGGGCAGGGGAACGGGCAGCGAGAGGAGGAACGGGAATATTATGCGCAGGTCGGAGCAAGAGGAATCGGACATGGAGGAATGGAAAATAATAACTCCTCCCTTCTTTGTTGTTCGACTTCGCGCTGCAGCGCACGGTCTCGTCAAACGTCGTTCCCTTTTGAGCTGGCGGTACGACGTTACCAGCCACGTGCAGCTAGCGCAGATGTTGGCCAAGTGCGGCGCGAGCTCGATTTGGTCGTATGAGGGACATTCCGTATGAGTATTCGCACCACCACAATGGATGAATATGCTAAGGTTCAGGAGAGGATTAGGAGAAGGAGGGGATGAGGATGAGGACGAGGTGGATGTCTAGACAAGCGAGCACGGAGGGGTTGAGGTCTAGACAAGGTAAGGACGGGCAGGATTGGAGGAGGAGGGCAGATGAGGCTGCGGCAGTAATATGATGATGACGAGTACGATGAACATGATGATGGTGATCATCATTATGATTATGATGATGATGCTGATTTTAATGATGATGCCGATGGCGACGATGCTGATGCTGATGATAATGATGATGATGCTGATCATGACGGGGATGATCATGTTGTTGTTGACGATGATGATGTTGAGCATGTGATGATGATGAGAAGGAGGAGGTGGACGTGGGAGAACGCGAACGGGGGGAGATAACGAGAGAGAGAGAGAGAGATACACACACAAATTACATTGTTGTTTATATATATGTATATGTACGTACCATCACCACCACAACTATGCATGTGAGTTTAACCATGCTTGTAAATGCGCACGTGTATCAAAATCCACGTGTATACGTGTACAGATGTACACATGTACCGTAGCACCCCGCACATGCGGATATGAGTGAGGGGGCGGAGGGGACGTCGTCAGTTTGCGAGACTCTGGAGAAGCCCGCTGCAGGCGCCAAAGTTTCACAAATTATACCACGAGTCCGCCGCAGGCGCCGATTTTTTCGTTAAGCCAATGTGGGTAGGTCGCGGGTGGGTCGCAAAGAAGTCATGGGTGGGTCGCGGGTGGGTCGTTGGTGGGTCGCTGTTGGGTCGCGGGTGGGCCGCGGGTGTAGAGGGCAGAACATCCATACCATAAGAATCACCCTGACAAGCGAAGCCGCTTAGTAAACGCACACAACGGATGAATCGAACATGGCAGGTCTGTTTAGTAAACGCCCACGGCCGTTTAGTAAACGTCAAGTGTCGGGTCCGGGTGGTTTCTCCTTCCTTGAGGGTGGGTCTCGGGGTGGGTCGCGGGTGGGTCGCGGGGTGGGTTGCAGGTGGGTCGCGGTTGGGTCGCGGATGTGTCGCCGGGTGGGTCGCGGGTGGGTCGCGGGGTGGGTCGCGGGTGGGTCGCGGGTGGGTCGCGGGTGGGTCGAGGGGTGGGTCGCGGGTGGGTCGCGGGGTGGGTCGCGGGTGGGACGACGACAACAAACAACAACAACAACAACAACAACAACAACAACAGCAACAACAACAACAACAACACCAACAACAACAACAACAACAAGAACAACAAGAACAACAACAACAACAACAATAAGAACAACAACAACAACAACAACACAATACATAACAGCAACAATAACAACAATCATTTTAAGACAGTTCGCCGTTATCTGCTCGAGTGTCCAATAACGCGTATTTCCCAAACCCTTGATACCCGCCTTCTTTGTGCTCGATCGAGCCCCTTTGGGGGGTATACCTTTCTTCCCTGCAGGCCGGGCCACGGCAAGCGGCGGGGCGGCCGCGGACCGTCGGCCTGGCCAGCGGCAGCGCTGATCGGCGGGGCGGCCGCGGACCGTCGACCCGATCCCAAGAGGGACGGACAGGGGACCGACCACGACGACGACGTCGACGTCGACGATGACGGCGACGACGACGACGGCGACGACGACGACTAGCGAAAGCGAGAGCGAGGGAGGACGACAGCAGGGCCACTAAGGACACGAAGTAGGCCACGAAGGGCGACAGCGGGGACACGACGGGAATGCGTATGGGGCCACGAAGAGCGCGAACGAGCGGAGGCCACGAATGGCAAATAATGCGGGGCCACAGACGGCAACGATGGGGCCACTGAGGGTAGCAACTGGGCCACGAAGGGCATGCACAGGGGGCCACAACGGGCGCGAACGAGCGGGGACCACGAAGGGCATGCGTATGTTGGTCCGCGGAGGGCAAGGACGGGGCCACCGAGGGCAACAACAGGGCCACGAAGGGCAACGACGGGGCCACGAAGGGCGACAGCGGGGCCACGAATCGAATGCATATGGGGCCACAGCGGGCGCGAACGAGCGGGGGCCACGAAGGGCATACATATATTGGGCCACGAAGGGCAGCGAGGGGGCCACGAAGGGCTGCAACGGGGCCACGAAGGGCTGCAACGGGGCCGCGAAGGGCAGCGAGGGGGGCACGAAAGGCTGCAACGGGGCCACGAAACAAAGCGAGACGGTCACGTACGGATGCGACGGGGCCACGAAGGGCAGCGAGGAGGCCACGAGGGGCTGCAACGGTGCCACGGAAACCCAGCGAGGGGGCCACGAAGGGCTGCAACCACGAAACAAAGCGAGGGGGCCACGAAGGGCTGCAACGGGGCCACGAAGGGCAGTGAGATCCCGATTCTTAGGTAATCTGTGAGGGAGTCACAAGCGTGGACGCGACTCCGTGGTGCCTGGGTGTCGGGAGCGCGGCGCTGCAGTAAATTGCGAGCGAGTCCCCAGCGAGAGCGCGACTCCAGAGCGCCGGGAGCGCGATTTTTGCATAGATTGTAAGGAAGTCCCATGCGAGAGCACGATTCCTGAATGACATGCGAGGACGCCTCGGGCGGGAGCGGGGGTCCTGGTTAAATTGTGAGGAAGTTGCAGGCGGGAGCCGTAGTTGTTGTAACCCGGGGGTCAGGGACACAGCTTTAACAATAAATCTGCCCTGTCAAAAAAACAGGGTACGAGCGTCGAGGGGCACACTTTGATTTAGACAAAACAGTATGCACCGGTGGGGGGAGCAACAATAATTCTTTTTTTTCAGGCGTGAGATTTCAACAACAGCAAGAGCACCACCAACAACAACACCAGCAACAGCAACAGCAACAACAACAGCAACAACACCAGCAACAACAACCACAACAACAACAACAACAACAACAACGCAACAATCATAATTCTCACCACGAGTTTCCTATTCAGCAACGCACGCACCGCTCGGCACCCTCACTCTGATGAAGCGATTGGGGGGAAAGCGAGAGTGAGATAGAGAGAGAGATGGGCAATACACATATATATAATATATATATATATAGAAAGGGAGAGAGGCAAGAGAGAGAGGCAGGCATATCTTGATATTGAGAGATAGAGGGAGATAGATAGAGCGAGAGAGAGAGGTAAGGGCATTGAGAATTGTTGACGCTTCGCGTATCCCCACCAGCCCATCCAGAAACGATGCCCAGGGGAGTCGAGGTGATCAGGGAAGCCGGGGAGCATGCAGAATAACAAAGGGCGGGGGAAGCTGCCACGTACCCCAAGAGGGGGAGGATGGAGAAGGAATCCTCGTCGGAAGGGGGAGGGGGAGGAAGAGGAGGAGGAGGAGGAGGAGGAGGAGGAGGAGGAGGAGGAGGAGGAGGAGGAGGAGGAGGAGAGTGAGGAGGAGGATGTGGACTAGGGAGAGGACGAGGAGGACGAGAAGGAGGAAAAGGAGCAGAGGGAGGAGAAGGAGGAGAAGGAGGAGGAGGAAGAGGGGGATGAGAAATTGAAGAGGACGGCGAACCGAAGAACCAGAAGCGTCTTAAATGCATTTCGGAGATCCTCTTGAGGCTTCTTGGGGGTTTCTTGGGAGCCTCTTGGAGGCCTCTTGGGCGCCTCTTGGGGCAATCTGTGCGCCTAATGGGGCGCTCTTGGGGCGCTCTTGGGGGCTGTAGAGGCGCTCTTGGGGCCATCTTGGAGGAGATCGATCAACGAAGGGGGGTTCCCTAATCAGCCTCCCCCCTCAGGAGCTCCAAACATCGCCTCTTGGAGCGCTCTTGGGGCGCTCTTGGAGCGCTCTTGGGCGCTCTTGGGCCTCTTGTGGGGCCCTCTTGGGCCATCTTGGAGCCATCTTGAGGCCTTGGATGGCCATCGGAAACGAAACGGGGAGAAAGCAAAAAACATTGATTTTCTTAAGGTTTTGGGTCGATGTTGGCCTCTTCGGGGCCTCGTCGGGGAGCTCTTTGGCCACAAGGAGCCGTCTTTGGGCCTCTTGGAACCATCTTAGGAGCCATCTCGAGCGATCTTGCGCTATCTTGAGCCATCTTGGAGCTCATCTTGGGTTCTCTGACGCGCTCTTGAAGCCATCTTGGGGCCAAAAGGGCCGTCCGACCGCTCGCGAAACCCTCCGTCCAGGTCCACGGGAGGGGGTAGGGGGAGGGGTAAACCCCTCCCCAAGGGGGAAGAGGGAGTGGTGGAAGAGGATCTGTTCTAGACCACCTACGCCCAGAGGGCTGGTGGGATTATGTTGGGAGGGGTTCGCGGGGAGGACGATAGAGAAAGGAGAGGGCCGGAGACGAAGGAAGGACGGACACAAGAGCGCATATGAGAGGGATGAAGGACGATGAGGAATATAATGATTATTTCGCTATGCTTCTGCGTCGAGCAAGGAGGGGTCACCAGTCATTCTCAGGACGCGGTTGCTGGGGGCGAGGACGATGCAGTCAACGTGGACGTGCTCAAGGCAACCACTCTCGCATTTGGACTGCCTCTGTCTGTCCTTCCATTTCCCATCTTTCTCTTCCCGCTTATCATTTTCTTTCCGCTTCTCCCTTCCCCATCCCGCCTTCCTGCGTCTCCCCTGGCTCGCCCCTCATTTCCTCTTCTGCGTGCTCCTACATCCTCCTTCTTGTCCTTCCTCATTTTCGTCTTCTCCCACCAGGGTGACTTCATGCTACACTGTGTCTGTACTGTGTCCAGTGTGCCCAGTGTGCACAGCCGCATCCTCGAGGGCTGGCCCACGATTGCCCCGTACAAGATGGGCACAGAAAAGTGGAGCCGTTCCGCGCTTCGCCTTGGTCCCCCCCTCAGGGTGGAAGGAGTCTGTCCTTCAGAGCTGCTTTCGAGGGCCTCGGTCTCCTCGCTCGGGCGATCGGGCAGCGGGCGTAAGCCCCTCAGCAGCCAGTCGCATCGGCGTCCGTAGAGGAGCATCGAGTAAGCTCCTCTTCTCCCACTCGCCCCTCGTCCTGTGCCGGACAGCGCTCCTGCGTGTGTGCCGCTGCTCGTACAGAAGGCGTCTGCCAGCTTCGTGGCCGCGCTGGCCACGCTGGCCCCGGAGGAGGAGGGCAGATGAGAAGGGCCCGCAGGGAGGATGAGGACAGGCCTGCTTGCCACTCGGGGGTGCGCCCGCTTCTTGCCCGAAGCCTGGGCCCAGCCGCCCTAGCTGGGCGAAGAGCTGAACTGAGCTGAGCCCCCTGTGCGCGCCGCCAGCACTGTTCGGGGGTGGACAGAACCCCCAACAGTGACACGTCGATTAGTGAATTGTCCGTTTTCGGTTCTCGAGAGGGCGCCGTGGCCGTTATTTTCCAGGCTTGCGCCCGCCAGGTTTGGGCCTCAGGTCGTTTTCACTACTAAACCACGTTTTACTTAAGGGGGGTCTGTCCATCCCCGACTGTGCGCGCCGCCAGTACTGTTCACTCGGCGAGGGCGCGGGCGCGTCCGTGTGCGGTTCGCTCGGCGGGGGCCGCGGGCCCCTCTCGCAGGCCCTGTTTCTCTCCTCCTCGGAGTCCTCGCCGCAGGCGGACCGCGGGCCCCTCCCCGAGAAAATCAGAAGGGGAAAAAACACACAGACACAATTAATCGTCGACTCCCAGGAAAAAGTGTGCTCCTGACCACACATAACGGGGTTGGACAGACCTGCTACCCTGACACGTCGATTAGCGAATTGGCCGTTTTCGGTTCGCGAGAGGGCGTCGCGGCCGTCATGTTTGCGGGTCCAGGTCCGTCGGTTTCGGTCCCAGGCCGTTTTCATTAAGGAGAGGTTTTCTAAGGGAGATTTGTCCACCGCCGAACGTAGTTATGCCTGCGATGTGCCTGTCAATCGCTTCTCCAAGCCGCCGGCGAGACAGCAAGGAAGAAGAACAGAGAATGCAGAATAGGACGCAGGTGATCTGACGATGGACTTTTCTTTCTCTGAGGACTTCTCACGTTCACCTGGAGCTCGTCCGACTGCAAGGACGCTTCACGGAGGTGCGGCTGCCCCCCCCCTTCGGCCGGAACCTTCAGGGAGGCCCTCGGGCCGCCAGGGGGCTTCGAGAGACGAGCGGCAGGGCGGAGCAAGCCGCGGACGGGCTGGCGACGGGACAGGCGCGCTCGCGCAGAGCCGGCCCGCCACGGCCACGGGGGACTTCCCCCCAGACCTCCTCGCGTCGTGAAGGAGTCGCGGCGCATGGCGTGGGGAGGGCAGCGTTCGGCCTTCCGACGCCCTCCCTGCGGGACGTCAGGAACAGAGCTCGGGATGGGCTCGAGACCTCTGGGGGCCCGCGTGGTGAAGCAGTCACGTGGTCGGAGGTCTGGCCGCCCCCTCCCACTCGACCAGAGGGCCCCGAGGCCTTTGACCAGTGCCCCTCCTCCTCCTCCTCCTCCTCCTCCTCCTCCTCCTCCTCCTCCTCCTCCTCCGGCGGCTCGAAGGCCCTCGTCTCTCGGGGGCCTCTCCGAGGAAGACGCAACGCCGTGGGGACTCTCGAAGGCCCTGGACAGGCGCCCCGAAGGCTCGAACGGCACGGGGCTCACAGAGCGCCGCATCCTGCAAGATGGCCCAGGTTTTGGCCGAGCCGGGCTTGGGAGCCCGTTGCGGCCCCAGAGGCGACCGCACATTGTTGGCTGAGCCGGGCTTGGGCAGCCCCTTCAGAGAGTGCAGCGGCGCTGTTCCCCTATAGGTTGGCCTAGCCGGGTCTGCGCAAAACACAAAAAAAACACAAAAAAATAATAAAAAATAATAATACAAAACACACACACACACGCAACAAAATCAGTGCGCCCCCGAGAAGGCCCCGCGGGTCCTCGAGGGCCCCTCGAGAGAGAGGGGCCCCTGGAGGGCGCCGGGGCGCCCGCCCTCTGCAGCGGGCGGCCGGCAGCTACCAGCCCGCGTCCTGGGGCTGGGCGGGGAGGGAGGATTCGGGCGAAGAGAACTATGCACATGCACCGATCCTGGCAAGGCCCATCCTTGACCCAGGATCGGTGCATATGCCTTCCTGGCCAAGGCAGGAGGGCGTATGCACCGATCCTGGGCTCAGGGTGGGCCTGGCCAGAATCGGTGTATGTGCATAGTTCTCTGTCCTCTAAGGATCTGGACGCCCGAAATGGGAACTGAAAGAATGGGTACAATGCCCAACAACAACTCCTGTTCATTTTGAACAGGATTCGCTGTCCACGCCGCCGCGGCCTGTGTCCATTCGAGACAGCAGGCCGCCTGCCCAACAGCGGCCGCTGTTGGCTTGGGACAACATTTGTTGTTGGGCATAGTACCCATTCTTTCCGTACCCATTTCGGGCGTCCAAAGAGGAGGGATGTGTAAGGAGGGAAAGAGACACACAGACACAATTAACCGTCGATTCCCCAGAACAGATGTCAAAATATGGCAAGTGGGGGGGAAGGCAAGAGCCCAGAAAATCTAGGAAAATATACGGAATCCTGTCATGTGTGTCTATTTTTTTGTGTCTCCCTGGGCCCCTTTAATGTGGGAGGCAGCAGACGGGGGAAGCATTTGTTCCGGCCAGCGATAGATTGCCCTCAGCAGCCTCATGCGACCAGCACAGAAGCTGCAGCTCGTGGAGACGTATATTTGCGTGTGCAGCGGGGGGGGGGGCGTGGGGCCCAGGCGTCCGATGATGTCTTGATTTGGTTAGTGCGGGGCCCCCAGATGTCACGACCCCCTTCACCGGGGCCGGCTTTTTATCCCGAGTCGTTTTTGACGGTCCCGGGGCTGTCCCAGGAGGCCGACAGCGCCCAGAACCTCCCGTCGCGATGTTTGCCACGGCGCGAGCATCTCTGTCTCCTCGCCCTCGCCGCCTCCGAAAACCACCCGTCATGCTGCCGATGCCTGGGCTGGCCGCCCGCCGAGGCTCACCGCGCGCACCAGCGCATGAAGGCGCTCGAGCGGCAGCGGCAGGCCTCCGCCGATGCCGCCCCCTGCCCGCGCCGGCCGCGGCCGCCACGGGCCGTCGGCGCCGTCGGCCTCGACGGCGGCGGCGGCGGCGGCGTCGGCGGCGTCGGCGGCGTCGGCGTCGCCGGCGGCGTGTTCGAGCGTTCTGGTCGGTCCGGGGCTCGGGCCGGGCGAAAGAAGGGGATTGGGAAAGGGGGGGTTACGAAATTTGCTGCATGCAGCTGGTTTCGGCCTCACCGAGGGGCCCATTCCTCGATACATAGCCGCCTCCGGCGCCGGGAGGCGCCGGGAAAATCAGCTACGTGAGCTGATTCTCAAACCCCCCCTTTGCTATCCCCCCCTTTCGCCCGACCCGAGGGGTGGCTTTCCAGCCTCGGGCCGGCCTCGGGGTGCTTTCCAGCAGCCGCGCGGCGCCGAGAGCGTTCCGGGGGTGCCCGGATCCTCCCGAAGGGCCGAGCAGCTGAGCGCCGGGGAGGAGGAGGACGGGGAAGGAGGGAGGGAGGGAGGGGGGGAGTGAGTGAGTGCGTGGAGGAGGACGGGAGAGTGGGGAGGGGGGAGGGGGGAGCGAGGGAAGAATGGGTGATGAGGGAGAGGGGAGGGAGAGGGGAGGGGGAGGAGGAGGAGGGAGGAGGAGGAGGAGGAGGAGGAGGAGGAGGAGGAGGAGGTGGAGGAGGAGGAGGAGGAGGAAAAAGAAAAAGAAGAAGAAGACGAAGAAGAATAATAATAATAAGAAGAAGAAGAAGAGGAGGAGGAGGAGGAGGAGCAGGAGGATATAGCTCGGAGGATGAGGAGCAGGAGGAGGAGGAGGAGGAACTTGCGACCTGAAGTCATGAGACAAAAACCTAAACAGGCTCCCCCTCAAAATCTGAGGACTCCCATCCTCAAGAGCCTGGGGAGCCTTACGGGTGGCCTCGCCGAGGTCCATGTTCTAGTCAAGCTCATGTTCGTCGATGCCGAACGCCCGCAGGATGTCCTCGCGGGTCGCAAGGCGTGGCCGACACTGGTCGATCTTTGCGCCTGGCGCGTCGCCAGGAGTTCGCCAGGCCTGAAGCCCTCACATTAGGAGGAAGAAGAGATCAGGTGGAGAGGGAGGAGGAGGACGGGGAGAAAGGGATGAGGAAAGTGGAGGCAGAAGGGGTGAGGAAGGGTGAGGAAGGATGATGACGATGATGATGATTGTGATGATGATGATGCTGGTGATAATGATGATGATACTGATGATGCTGCTGGTGATGATGCTGCTGATGCTGATGATGCTCATGCTGATGATGATGCTGCTGCTGATGCTGCTGATGCTGATGCTGATGTTGATGCTGATGCTGCTGATGATGATGCTGATGATGGTGACGGTGATGGTGATGATGATGCTGATGCTGATGATGCTGATGATGCTGGTGATGGGGACGGTGATGGTGATGGTGATGATGACTATGATGATGCTGCTGATGATGATGATGATGCTGATGATGATGATTATGATGATGATGATGATAATGAAAGAAGACGGTGATGATGGTCCACGCGTCTAAAGGAGGTCAGAAGTTCTCAGCTTATATTGCCCCTCGGACCGAGGCGTGTCTTTTTTGTCCTGCGGCGCCATTTTTTACCTGAGTGCCTAGAAGCCGCCCGCCGCCCCGGTCGAAGCAAGCGGTGACACGGCATCCGAGCAATCACGGCGATTCAGCCCTCAACAGAAGCACACACGCGCCACAGCAGAGCAGCACATTCCTAGACACTAACCCCATGCCGACGATAATAATGTACCCCCCCCTTAAGTCGTTAGAGTTTTTTATCGTCGACCAATAAGAGTTTGGTCGGGGGCGCGGGGGCGCGGAGGCCGAACTTCATTATCACGGGAAAGGTTCGCCATCGAAGTTACTTCCTTCTTATGTTGAGATAACAACATCAAGCGAAGCGAACACGTTGTTTCAGGATGTCTCAGGCGAAACCAATGTCCTTCTGTCTCTTTGTAGTTCTTTCTGTCTCTCTTTCTTTCTTTCTCTGTCTCTCTTTCTCTCTCTCTCTCTCTCTCTTTGTCTCTCTATCTCTTTCTCCTTCCTGGCCTATCTGTCTCTCTCTCTCTCTCTGTCTCTCTATCTCTTTCTCCTCCTCCTCCCCCTGGCGCCCTGAACTTGTTTATCGCTGGGGTTGATTATCCAGGGAAACGAGGCACGTGAGCTACCCTACACGAGCACTTAAACATTCAATTTTCATAAAGCGCTTGTACATAAAATTTAATACATTTGAATCTTCAGTTTTTTTGTTTTATCCTCCTTTCCTCTTCTCTTTATCCTTTTCATTTATTATTCTACTTTTCTTTTTACATATATCTTCTCTCTTTAAGTCCTTCCTTTCTTTTTCTGTATGATGTATCTCTCTGTCTCTCTCTCTCTCTTTCTCTCTCTCTCTCTCTCTCTCTCTCTCCATGCCCCCCCCCCTCTGAACTTTTTTATCCCTGGGATTGATTATCCATGGAAAATGAAGCACATGAGCTACCCTACACGAGAACTTAAAAAATTGAATTGCCATAAAGCGCTTGTGAATAAATTCTGTATTGTTTCTTTTTATGTTTGTTTGTGTATATCGCTTTCTCCATTCCTCCGCCCGCCTGAACTTTATTATCGCCGCGGTTGATTATCCAGGGACACCGAGGCGGATGAGCTATTCCGAGGATGTCTCAAGCGAAACAAGCATATACCCGAGGATGCCTCAAGCGAAACAAGCATATACTGAAGGATGTCTCAAGCGAAACGATACGTTTCTTAAGCGAAATAAGCAATAGTTTGACGGTGTCTCAAGCGAAATAAGCAACAGTTTGTTGATGTCGCAAGCGAAACAAGGGATTTGTCGAGGATGTCTCCAGCGGGATAAACCATTGTTGAGGATATTTCTACGAAGGCTAAACGCCAAGGATGTCTCAAAACGTGCTCGGCTTGGTCTCCTCTTGATCATCTCTTACTTCGAGATTATGCTGAGGTCTGGTGGGCTACTTTGATTATCTCCCCCTGAACCCCGAACTTTATTATCCCCTAGTGTTTATTCTCGAAGGTTTAGGGTTAGGCCACTCGATGGAAACTATGCTCTGCAATGGCGTTCGGAGACGAACCAGAGTGTCGGTGGAGCCACCTACCCTCTCGGTACGGCCTCCGCCATGGCACGCGGGCGGTGCAACGACAGGCGGTACGCAGCCAAGCTGCAACGTGCCAGCGCAGCTACATCGAACAGAATGCATGCTACGGCAAGGGCCTACCGCCCACAACACGCACACGGTGGCATGCAAAGGCACGTCCTGCGACGCGCGGAATGTGGAAGCCAAAGCAGAGCATCTCAGTCCCACGGCACGAGGCCACACATTGGACATCTCTGCCGTGCGATGGCGCGGAGCCCGATCCAGGGCATCGGTAGCAAGCCACCTACGCGCGCGGTTCTGCCTCCCATAGTGAAGGTTGGGGGAAGAGGGGGAGAAGGAGCATGAGGAGGAGGATGAGGCGAGGATGAGAAGGAGGAGGAGGAGGAGGAGGAGGAAGAGGAGGAGGAGGAGGAGGAGGAGGAGGAGGAGGAGGGAAGGTCAGGCTGCGACAACGAGAGAGAGAGAGAGGGAGAGGGGGAACACACATGGACGAAGACGATGTCAAGGAAGAGGGCGAGGAGAAGCGCGCACACATTGAGGAGAAGCAGCACTTGCACCAGGAGGGTGAGGAGGCGGAGGAGTTGGAGGGGGAAGATTATGTGGACGGGGACGAGGTCGTGGGCGAGAAGAACGTACAGGAACGGGAGGATCAGCAGCAGGTGGAAGGGAAAGAAACCAATTTGGCCCTGGGCCCGCCCCAGCCCTGTGAGGAGGGGGCCCGACACTTCCAGCGGCAGACCTGGCGAGCGCGGTGGTCACGAGGCGCCCGTCCCGCTCGACACAGCAAGGCCAGGGCATCGGAGGACGTCTACTGACTGGTGGCCCAGACCCAGCCGCGTCCGAGCGATCCGCCCTGATGATGAGCGTCAGTATCGTTCAAACGATCCCCATCCCCACCCCGACCCCCACCATCCCACAACCCCTTCGAAACCCCAAATGCCCCCCATCTAGGGGGTAATTCGGCCAGTGGGGCCCAGGCCACGCCAGTAGGGATCGGGATCGATTAAACGATCCTCAGAGCCGACACGCCGCGACCGTTCAAGGTAAAGCGCCGAAGTCAGGGCCGACAACACGGCGCGAAGCTGCCGTACACCGACCCGATCCAGGCCCATATTGGGCCCAGGATCGGTGTGTATCTCGGGGCCCTCAAGCGGTGTGGTGACCACACAGTGTGGTGAGTCATATGGGATTCGGGATCACCATTCGGTTTGGGGATTCGGGTCGGCCGAGGACGTCACGGATTTGGCCTCCCGAAGTACCGGAGGTTAGTAGCAACCCCAAGTCTGCCAGGCCGATTAGTAGCGAATTGCCTTTTTTCGGTTGGTCCCTGGGGATGGCCTCGGGGTGGCCCGGGGGGCCCTGGAGACCTCCCAGAACCTTTCCTCAGGGGGGCTTCTTGGGGGGTACGGTTGTTTCCCCATCACATCCCTTCGGGGGAAGTTTGCGCGGGAGGGGGTTCTCTCCAGATCCCTCCCAGAACCCTTTCTCAAGATGGGATATTGGGGCTTCTTCCTTCAGGACCACCTCAGGGTCAGGGGGTTGCCCACCCAGAGTTCTCCCAGTGTTGCGACCACGCAGCGTGCAGGCCTGCGCCCACAGGTTCTGGTTCTGCGCCGTCTGTATCGAAGCGTGTTTTGTAATGGGGTGATGGGCTTGTTCTCCATCACCACCATAAGTAGGAGGAGGAGGAGGACCCTCTTCCTCTCCAACTTATGGTGGTGTTGGTGGAAAACAAGCCCATCAGGGGGTCCTGTCCACCCCCGAGTGCACGGCCCCCCGGCCAACCTTGGAGGGCGCACGCGCCGGTCCCGAGCCCAGGCTCCGCCCAGCCTGGCTCGGTGAGGTGGCCAGTCCATGAGATCGGGCGCCACGAGCAAAAATACGGCATGGCAAAACCACCCCACCGGAATCCTACACGGTGGGGGCGCACATCGAGAACCCATCTCCTTTTCGTCAGGGTACCCTGGGTCTCTTCGCTCCGCGCGCCGCGCGGCGACTGCCCGCATCCGCTCAAGAAGCTCCTGCGTTCAGGGTGCTCCGGGTTTCCCCTCAGGTGCACCTCGCGCGCGGGTTTTCATGGTTGGGCTTCTTGCGAGAGGTTCTTGCCGTCGCGCCCGCACCATACCGCATTCCTCGAGCCGGATCGATTTGTGAGAGCCCTGGGGCCTGAATTTGGACGCCCGACATGGGTACCGAAAAGATGGGTACGATGCCCAACAACAAATGTTGTCCCAAACCAACAGCGGCCGCTGTTGGGCAGGCGGCCTCCTGTCTCGAATGGACACAGGCCGCGGCGGCGTGGACAGCGAGACCTGTTCAAAATGAACAGGAACTGCTGTTGGGCATTGTATCCATTCTTTCGGTACCCATTTCGGGCGTCCAGACTGAAGCAGCGCAAAAAACATCGCCCTCCGACGCAGAGCAGGAGGACCTGCAGCCGCAGCTCGGGGGAGGCCCGCCGCGCGCCGGCCTCCGGCGCTCAGGTGCGGTGCGCGGTGCTGCTGGAGCGGCGGCTCCGCCCCGTCGTCGAGGCCTCGGAGGCGGACCGGAGAGCCGCGTACGTCGGCCGGCCGAGGGCGCAGAAGCGCGCCGTGGGGCGACGGCGACGACGACCCCATGTCCGACGATCTTCGGGGGCGGAAAAGAGGGGGGTGATGACTAGGGGGGGGTGGATATCATGGCGGGGGGCATGATATTTCCTCAGATTTCACGGCGCCTCTTCTTATTTCATTACGTCCCTGGCCCCCCCGCTGGGCCGCGCACATGCCGCCGTTCATGATTTGCACCCCCCCCTCTTGGACACCCCCCTCTTTGCCGCTCCCGAGTGGGGCGGCGGCGACGACGACCCCCGGTGTCCGACGATCTGATTTGTGCAATCCGGTGTTTTTGTTCCCCGTTTTCGGGCTTCTGGGGCCCGTTGCCAGGCCCAGGGGCCCTCAGACATGCATCCCGGGGTGAAAAACCGATCCCAGGGTGGGGGTCGGGACCTTTGGGGCCGCGCGTTGAACACCACATCGTCGGATGCTTGTGACGCTGCCAACGGCGAGGACGGCGAGGACTTCGGCGACGGCGACGGCGAGGAATGCGACGACGACAGCGACATCGATGAGGAGACTCATTACGGCGACGATGGTGGCGGCGGCGACGGAGGCGACGACCGAGGACTTGGACGACGGTGGCAGCCACCCATGAGCAGAGGAGGCAGGCGGAGGATTTGAGCGTTCTTCGACCTCCTCTGCGGTCGCTCGTCGTTCTCGGCCACGGCCTGGGTCCGCCTCGAAGTCCTGGCCAGGACGCGCTCCAGCGCACGGCCGAGGAACGATTTTGGGAGCCGACAGTGGCGACGACAGCGGCGGCACGGCGATGATGACGATGGCAGCCGCGGCGGTTGCGACGACGACGATGACGACGTATGCCACTCACTGCTCGTGCTACGTCGCCGTCGTCGTCGTCGACGTCGTCGTTCCTGCGTCCTCCCCCGTGCTCTTCCTGCGGTCGATCTCCTCCACCTTCTCCACCCCTCTTCCTCGTGATCCGTCAGAGGAGGCAGGTGGCGTTCTGTCCCGCTCGTGTGTTCCTGTCTCTGAGAGGCCCTCGGTTGGCCTCGGTGCCCTGGGGGCCCACCTCTCGTCCCCGGATCCCCGCCATTTCGATGTTTCACGATGTGGACCCCCAGAGGTATGGACCCTCCTGTGGACCCGCTTTTCATCCCGAGTAGTTTATGACGGTCTCTCAGACTGGTGACGGCCCCCGGCGCAGAAATCAGGAACAAATGTTGCGTCATATGTTTTGTTCCCGCGCCAGAGGGTTTGGGCCCTTGGCTATGCATTACCCGCTCCTGCGGAGTCTAGGATGTGTTCGCTCTCCCATGAGGCATGCTCGGTCACGGGACGCGCTCTCTCTCTCTCTCTCTCTATTCCTCTCTCTTTTTTTGTTGTTATTGTTCCCTCTCTCTCTTTCGTGGGATCACTCACACACTCTTCCTCCTGGTCGTTCTGTTCCCGTTCTGTCCCCTCGTCCTCATACGTGCCCACCGGTGTCCTATCGGTCGTTCAGAGCAGGTATTCCGTATTCCAGTCTGTTTTAGGCGCCTTCCTATTTCGATCATCGAGTGGCGTTCATTTTTCTTTCGGCCCCGTCGCATGAGGGGCCTTCCCTGTCACCAGGCTTGAACGCCACCCCGCCGCAAACAGGGCCCGCACGGAAGGCTGCAAGCCGCACCCAGGTCCCACGCTGTTTCGCCTCGCAGCCGTGGGAGCCTTCTTTGGGGCCCCACAGCTTGTTACTCTGCTCTGTCCGCCGCGCCCCTCCGCCACGTCGTGCTCCCCCGCCTCTTCGCAGCCGTCGCCGCCCCGAGAGCCGCTGCCGAGCCAGGCCGAGTGGGAGGCCGAGCAGGCCAGGCAGGTGGAGGCCCTGACGAAGGCGCCCGGCGGCCTTGGCGGAGCGGCTCCCTGGCCGCGGCGATTCCAGATCGCCTCGTGCTCCCGCGCGTTGCTGCTCCGCGTCCTCTCTCTCTCTCTCTCTCTCTCTTTCTCTCTTTTGCCCCCCGTGCTGCTTCTCCTCCTCCCCCTGTGATGCTCCCCTCGTTCCCAGTCTAGGTCCTGTTCTTTGGCGGCTCCCTGCTCTGTGGCTCGCTCGCTCGCTCGCACTCCCTCCTCCTCCTGTCCCCTCTTCCTGTCCCCTCTTCTCTTCTTTCCCCCTGCTCCCTCCCTGGCTCTTCTCTCCTTTCGCCGGCGTCGCCATCCTTCCCATTGCTCATTATCCATCCTGCTGCTGCTCCTCCACCACCTCCTCCCCCGTCCTCCTTCCCATTGTTCTTCTAGAGAAGCTCGGCCGAGTCGCCATGGTAAAAGCATCGGACAGTCCTATCTGTTTCGCCCTTCCTAGTCACCCCCTCCCCGAAGAGGTAGAGGCGGGATGGAGGAGGGGAGGTGGGTTACGGTGAGCGGCGCAAGAGGAGGGTTTCGTTTCTGGTACGTGCGAATGGGCAGCAAGACGTACAGGGGGGGTCCACCTTTCTAGATGTTGTATTAATGGTGCATTTTGTTGTTCCATCCCCGTGGTGCTCCTGATGCTGCTGCTGCTGCTGCTGCTGCTGCTCGCCCTAGTCCTCTTACTCATCCTCTCTCTCATCCTCCTTGTCCTTCGTCCCCGCGCATGTTCTAAGTAATCAAATGTTCCCAAGCTGATGGATTATACTCAGGATTCTGGTGCTGTTGGTGACCTTTCGGGTCCTCTCGAGGCCGTAGTGGGTCCCTCAAACCGCCCTCCAGGGCAATTTCGGGCCATCTAATTTTAGGCTCCAGTGGCCACTGGTGTAATTCGAAAAGGTGCGAGATGTTGATCATACAGAGTTTGGGCAGTTCGGGAACATCTTAGGGGATCCAGGGCCCCCTCAGAGCCACATCGGGGTCTTCTTGGGGCCTCCCGGGGGCATGTCCGAGGCAATTTTTCTTGGACGCCCCGACTTCCCGCGACTCCTGGTTCAGTCTTCGAAGATTGGGCAGGAGAGGCAGGCAGGCAGGCAAGATCTGCGCCCTGACGGCGCATCGGCAGATCACATAATGTTGCAGACGCGGATAGCAAGACATGCAGGATGGAGTGAGTGACGACGCCGAGCCAATACAGTGCCTCTGGGAGCAAGCGCCAGACCCTTCGTTCCCGAGCCGCGCGAGGGAGGGCTGACTTTTTACGCAAGGAAGGCGGGGATCAGGGAGGGAGGGAGAGAGGGGAGGCGGGGTAGGGGAGGAACTGTCGGCAGTATTAATCGACGGTCTTGAGCCGATCACTTGGGGTCCGTGCAAGAGAGGTCGCAGGAAATTTGTGTAATCCCCCGCCGCCTGTAAAGCCTCACACGCATGTAATTTGTCCAATGCAGGCGCGGGCGCGCCCCTGGCGCGAGCACCAGCTCAATATCTTGGCCGCGTTTCGGTTGCCATTCAAGACCATGTGATTTGCAAGGTTGTTCGAACAGGTTGCAGCAAGTTTACCATGCAAGGTGAAGTTGACGTCGTAGTACAAGTACCGAACGGTTTCAAGTCTGTTGCTGACCTCACTGGCACATTGCTGGTTGGTGAAGAGTATGCAGGCGTAATGTTGTGGACACTTCGGAGACACTTCGCCTTACTATTGTCGAGTCTGTCCCCTGTCCTATTTCCAATAGCATACAACTGTCCAGCCCATCCTACATGTTTGAGCATCTACAAGCTTTCAGCGAATTGTTTTGTATTTGTTTCTCATGGTAGCGTGATTCCATGCTGTGCAGAACGTGTTGAATGCGCCTTTTGCTTCCCCGAGCCTTCGTGCTATCTCTGTTCTTGGTTCCCGACAGGCGCTCAATAGTCCTCTTAAATACATCGCGTGGTCCTCGCACGCGATCGGCATGCCATCGAGGCCTTCAACATTCGCTGCTGATTGTATTTTCAAATCTAGTACACGAAAGCTTGTGTTTTCTGTGCAACCACATCCAGATGACGATGAAGAGCTGCTGGGCTTGTGGATACGAGCGTTGTCTCGTCCGCTCCATCTTCAATGGGTTAACATATGTTTTGACTGGCAATTATCGTTGGGCATCCTTTCGCTATGCCCACAGCCTGGACTAGCGGTGTGGATCTGCCCTCATCTTTGAGTATGAATATGCAGGTCCCCACGATCGCTTACATCATGTCGACCATGACCGTGGGCACGCGGAAATGACGGAGGGCAAATGTAAAGTGTCATGGTTCGATGTGGTCGGATGTCTTGTTGTAGTCCTGCATTTGCAACGACAAGTTCACGTCTGTATCTTCAAACGTTGCGTCGATGAGTTGGCGCGCCAAGAACCGAGCCTTGATCATGCTTCGTCTGGGGCGAAATCCTTAACGATATGATCTTAAACAATTCCTCGCCCAAGTTCCACCCGCCGCAAAACAATGTGTGCCTGGCCACTGCATCCAACAGCACAAAGCGAGATCGGTTTGTAATTGCTCGGCTGTGAGGTAAAGGTGTCACTTTTTGTAGTATTCGTGTATATCTCTCTGTTGCGCACACGCATGGCATCGTTTTGCCGCATCGTTTTGCCATGGCGCGTGCCACAGATCCGGAGGCGCCCCGTCATTCCCAGCCGTTTTCTGGGCATTGTGGAGACTTGTTTGGTCGACGTATGTCTTACAGTTTAATGTCCTTTGCAGCCCACATTGGTGCTGCATTCGTGGAAATTCTCCTGAACCCTGCGGTTTCCACTGCTCGTTCTTCCAGTAGACGGCCACGGCTTCTTCGATTTCGGCGTCCACAAGATCCACCCAGGGATGTCAAAGTCGCCCATGGTGTGTCGACCAGCCTTTTCTCACAGACCGGATCGCTTCCCAACCACCGTTTCCAATTGAACCCTCCAGCCATTTTTCCCAGTCCGCCCGCGTTTAGGATTGGATTCGTTTGATCAATTTTCTGACATGCTCATTCGCTCGTTCGTTCTCGCTCCCGGACGCGCGCGCTAGCGCACTCGTAGGAACGGGGCGCCGCCAGCAGAGCAGGTCGCGCTTTCAGGAACAGCGCCTGGCGAGGTGTCCGACGGTGTCGGAAGCCTCCTCGACATCAGTGCGCTTCTGTTTCCCTCTGCTCCCTTCGTCCCCTGGCTCCTCCGTCCCCTTCCTCCGTTCTCGACTACGCTATTTGATTACGTTATTTCCGTTCTCGACTACGCTATTGTTCCCTTCCTCCGTTCTCGACTACTGGGCTCCTCCGTTCTCGACTACGCTATTTGTTTAGATTTTCACCGGCATTTTGAAGTCAGGCTTCCGCTGGGGGGGGGGCACGCTCTGTCCGCCCCCCCGCCTCCCCCCGAGGGGCCCCACGCTTCGGGGGGGGGAGGGGCCGCTTGGGCCCCAACTGCATCACGCGGCTAGGGGGAGTGGGGGGGAGTCACCACCCACCAAACCACCCCACCCAACCCGAAGGCCCAAATTTACCCTCTGTCAGAGATTCAGGGATTTAGCAGGCGTGCGTGTGTAGTATCTGTGAGTTTCTTGATTGTTACAGCAGCGCACGCATACACAGGGCGCCCTTTTAGGATCAAGGGTATTAAAGCATCCTATCATCGATCCCCGCCCGCCTGGGCGGACTCTCATGGTAAGCGGAGCGTGACAGCTCCGGGACCTGCGCAACATAGGCCGCTGGGCTGGGCCGCCGCGCCCGGGCGCCCCGCGGCAGGCGACGGCCGCAGCCGCCGCCAGAGGTCGCCGAACCTCCTCTCCGCCGCCGCGGTCACCACCGCGGCAGTCGTGTCAGCCCACGACGACGAGCCCTCCGCCGAGCCGGCCGAGGGCACCATCTTGTGCAACAACGCTGCTGCTGCTGATCATTCCCATCCTCACGAAGAAGATGTCCATCGAGCTGGACAGGAATGGAGACCCTCAGTATGCAGGCCAGCCAGAGTATTTCAATGAATGCGAAGAGCGAGCCTGGGATCTCTATCATGGCAGGACTGGCGAGAAGTCTAAGCAGGCCGCGACGGCGCTGCATCTACGATCAGGCCTTTCTGGTCCAGCCTACGAGGCAGTGCGCAAGCTCAAACATGAAGAGCTAATAGCTACTGATGGGTCTGGAGAATCAAGGCAGGACGGGCTCACTCTTTTCCTCACGACGTTGAAGAAAGAAGTTCAAGACATTGCGCCCGTCCGAAACACCGAGATTTTCGACAAGGCTTTGTACGGATCATCGGTCTGGCGCGACCGCAACGAGTCCATGGCCAACTACGTAACAAGGAGGCGAAAGGAGTTCGCAGAGTTGCAGGAGGTCAGCGCCACGACTACGATCTCAGAGGATATCCAGGCCGCACTGATCCTCAGATTCTGCGGCATCAGCATGAAGGAGCAAGCCGCAGTCCTCGCCTCCAACAAGAACGAGTACAAGCTAGCCGGCATCGAGTATGCACTGCGGGCTCAGTACCCAGCGGTACATCGACAGCAGGACCGACGCGCTGATCGCCGAGAGCGATCCGCCTACGCTTACGCCGCGTCGGAGCAGGACGAGAACCAGTCAGAGCTCGATCACATCTATTACGAGGACGAGGACGAGGACGGCTACAACCAGGGCGAGGAGGACGACTACGAGCACGGCGAGGACGACGAGTTCGACATCGAGAACTACGTCGCGGAGAACCTCGACGAGCTTGGCACCGAGGAGGCAGAGGCCCTCGCCCTCGTTCTGCAGAGCCGCAACAAGATCTTCAACAAGAAGAAAGCGCCTAGGCGAGTGACTTCGAGCTTCCACGGTCGTGGCAAGGCCGGTGGAAGGGGAGGCCGTCGGGGAGGCGGCAAGGGATTGACAACCAGGTCGCCCACAGGGCGAGGAGGCAGCAGCAGTTCGAGTAGTGCTGTCCCTGGCTACGACGACCGACAGCGAGATGCTCGCCGACAGCACATCGCCAACCTGAAGAAGCGGAC